GAACGTCAAGAAGCGCGCGCTGGCCAATCATGTGGCTGCATAGTGGTGGCGGGACCGGACGGTGGCTCTAGACTGAGATTCCAGATGGGAGACAAGTAGTATCCTTCCTCTCGATTGATGTTGTGGGGATTTTTTCGGATCTCTAGAGATTCGCGGATTTTCCTGGAATAAAAGAAGGGGCTCTTAGAAATAATATGGGTTTTTTCGAACAATATGGAATGACCGGTTTCTTGGCAGTGTTCGGCAACTGCAGAATGGGAGAAAAGACCTGATCGAATGCATCTTTGATGCTCTTGAATCCGAGTTTTGACGGAACGACCAGTTTCGCCAATATACACATGTCCACATGAACAAGGAATAGAATAGACACCACAGGAAGATAGGGGCGGTAATGAGTCCTTAGGAGAGGGTAGATATTGAGAGATTTTCTTGGGTGGTCGAAAAGTAGTCCTGATATCTTCTTTGCGAAGAATTTTGCCAATCCTATCAGTGACATTTCGAATATACGGAAGAAAAGCCACAGGAGTATTACCCGAAGATTCTGAATTTGTTGTCCTAGGGTGTAAAGGGGGATTTAGATGTCGGTGTGTAATATTTTGAATTGTGGACTTGGAGTAACCATTGGCGACAAGGGTTTTTTGCAGATGGCCAAGTTCTTCTCTAAGGTTGTCGGGTTCAGAAATCGAAATGGCCCGATGGATGAGAGAGTTGATCACAGAATTCTTTTGGGCAGGATGGTGGTGTGATGAAGCATGTAGGTAACGATTCGTGTGAGTCTTTTTTCTATAAACAGAGTGACCCAATCGGCCATTGGGCTTGGAGGTGACTAACACATCGAGAAAGGGAAGGGACCGATTATTTTCTACTTCCATTGTGAATTTTATACTCGGATGTTGTGAGTTAAGATGATCTAGGAAGGAAGAAAGGGTATGTTGACCATGGGGCCAGATGATAAATGTATCATCAACGTAGCGGAACCAGACTTTTGGTTTTAAGGGGTAAGATTCTAGGGCTAAAGACTCAAAGGCTTCCATGAAAATGTCAGCAATGACAGGGGAAAGGGGAGAACCCATTGGTGTTCCAGATATTTGTTTGTAGAAATTGCCTCTAAAAGAAAAATATGTTGAAAGGAGGCATTTTTCGGCAAGATCTGCCAAAACCAAAGACTTGTTATCATTGGTCAAGTGATCTCGCAGAACAACTAGAGAGTCATGTATGGGGATATTGGTAAATAGGGATGATACATCGAAACTGACGAGAATATCTTGCGGATCGACTGTGAGAGAGGAGATTAAGGAGATGAAATGTGTGGAATTTCGGACATAAGAAGAGGTACGACCAGTATAGGTCTTAAACTGATTGGACAAGTACTTTGCGAGTTTGTAGGTAGGAGAGTTAATCGTAGTCACAATGGGACGAAGAGGTACGTTATCTTTATGGATTTTCGGAAGACCATAAATTCTAGGGCAGATGGAGTTTTTTGGAACTATGGACTTCTTAACATCATCGGAAAGATCGGATTGTTTGATGGCATGGGAAATTTCGCGAAACGTCGAGCGAAACGTCGAGATGAACCCACTTTTGGGTCACTCACAAATGACACGGTCCAAACCCGGAAGACGAATAAACTATAATTCTGACTCTGGCCGTGGAAGCCTACGATTTCATTTGACCAACCTCTACGGGGAGGTTATATTCCGCAAAACCTCAGAGTTCTCCAATCTTCGCTCTAAAGTTTCATCTCTACTTTCTTCGCTCACCTTCCTCTCTAGATGTCGTGATAATAACTTGGTTCCCAATTTTCTTGTTCTAAAACATCACATTTCCTCTTCATCTTCTTCCCGAATTCTACATCGAGCCAGCCTATCTCTACTTCGTGAACGGATCCAACATATCCGAAAAACCCTTAATTTTCAATCCCAAAAACTTTTTAAGCTGCATCTTGAACTCTCCAGTATTCTTAGTGTCGATGATTGGTCACTTTTAGACCGCATTTTCTATCATCAAGCCGATAAAATCCTTCTTCTAAGCAACGAAACTCACAAAAAGAAATTCCAATCCCTTGTATCTAAGAAAAAATCACATTCCACCACTTCTACTTCTCATTCACCTCTCATTAACACCGTCGTTAATCTTTCTTCTCACCAATTAACAAGTGCAGAAAGCAGTCTTCTATCTAAAGGTCTTAATTTTGCTATTACTCCTTCCAGAATTCCTACCGAAGAAATAGTTTCAAATGTGGAAGCGGCACTCCGCACAATTCCCAAAATTCCAGCCGACCGTATCCGCTTTGACGTCGCTAAATGTCTTGATACAGCCAAAATCCCTACTTCCAATATATCTCGTGAGGAATTCACAGCTCTCAAAAATCTCCGTTCTCTTTCTGAGATAATAATCCTTCCTGCAGACAAAGGTAATGCCACAGTCATCCTGGATACTCCTTCCTACATAGAGAAAGTAAACGACTTACTTAGGGATACATCCTGTTATAATACAATTTCTCGAGACCCCACTCCTAGAGTCGAACGCGAAATTTCCCATGCCATCAAACAATCCGATCTTTCCGATGATGTTAAGAAGTCCATAGTTCCAAAAAACTCCATCTGCCCCAGAATTTATGGTCTTCCGAAAATCCATAAAGATAACGTACCTCTTCGTCCCATTGTGACTACGATTAACTCTCCTACCTACAAACTCGCAAAGTACTTGTCCAATCAGTTTAAGACCTATACTGGTCGTACCTCTTCTTATGTCCGAAATTCCACACATTTCATCTCCTTAATCTCCTCTCTCACAGTCGATCCGCAAGATATTCTCGTCAGTTTCGATGTATCATCCCTATTTACCAATATCCCCATACATGACTCTCTAGTTGTTCTGCGAGATCACTTGACCAATGATAACAAGTCTTTGGTTTTGGCAGATCTTGCCGAAAAATGCCTCCTTTCAACATATTTTTCTTTTAGAGGCAATTTCTACAAACAAATATCTGGAACACCAATGGGTTCTCCCCTTTCCCCTGTCATTGCTGACATTTTCATGGAAGCCTTTGAGTCTTTAGCCCTAGAATCTTACCCCTTAAAACCAAAAGTCTGGTTCCGCTACGTTGATGATACATTTATCATCTGGCCCCATGGTCAACATACCCTTTCTTCCTTCCTAGATCATCTTAACTCACAACATCCGAGTATAAAATTCACAATGGAAGTAGAAAATAATCGGTCCCTTCCCTTTCTCGATGTGTTAGTCACCTCCAAGCCCAATGGCCGATTGGGTCACTCTGTTTATAGAAAAAAGACTCACACGAATCGTTACCTACATGCTTCATCACACCACCATCCTGCCCAAAAGAATTCTGTGATCAACTCTCTCATCCATCGGGCCATTTCGATTTCTGAACCCGACAACCTTAGAGAAGAACTTGGCCATCTGCAAAAAACCCTTGTCGCCAATGGTTACTCCAAGTCCACAATTCAAAATATTACACACCGACATCTAAATCCCCCTTTACACCCTAGGACAACAAATTCAGAATCTTCGGGTAATACTCCTGTGGCTTTTCTTCCGTATATTCGAAATGTCACTGATAGGATTGGCAAAATTCTTCGCAAAGAAGATATCAGGACTACTTTTCGACCACCCAAGAAAATCTCTCAATATCTACACTCTCCTAAGGACTCATTACCGCCCCTATCTTCCTGTGGTGTCTATTCTATTCCTTGTTCATGTGGACATGTGTATATTGGCGAAACTGGTCGTTCCGTCAAAACTCGGATTCAAGAGCATCAAAGATGCATTCGATCAGGTCTTTTCTCCCATTCTGCAGTTGCCGAACACTGCCAAGAAACCGGTCATTCCATATTGTTCGAAAAAACCCATATTATTTCTAAGAGCCCCTTCTTTTATTCCAGGAAAATCCGCGAATCTCTAGAGATCCGAAAAAATCCCCACAACATCAATCGAGAGGAAGGATACTACTTGTCTCCCATCTGGAATCTCAGTCTAGAGCCACCGTCCGGTCCCGCCACCACTATGCAGCCACATGATTGGCCAGCGCGCGCTTCTTGACGTTCGCGCCACGTAGTGTGCCGATACGTCCCTACACGACAGGCACCGCGACTATAAATAGAGCGGTAGCGGAGTAATCGTCGGATTCACTCCCCGCCTCTCGACGCGTTAGTGTTCTGAGCTGTTGGACGTGAATCCCTGTCCTGGCATTTGGTTTTCACCTCTGGCTGCGTTGAGCAGTTGAGTTACTGTGACCAAATGCCCATCTTGGTAGTTAGTATTCGCCTCTGGTTGCGTTGAGTAACTGAGTTACCGTTGCTAACTACCCATCTTCCTGTTCTTTTGTTTTCTTTTTTCCTTTTCTTTGTTCTCCTGAAGAAGCTACATATAATTGTAGCGAAACGTCGAGATGAACCCACTTTTGGGTCACTCACAAATGACACGGTCCAAACCCGGAAGACGAATAAACCATTTATATGACGTTGTCATTTTTCCAATTGTGTTTGAAGCTGCCCCAGACGTTTTTGAACAAGTGGTTTTGATTGGGCGAATAATGTATTTTATGAATATTTTCTTTCTTTATTTGGTGAGGTATTTAGAGTGATATCACAGTTCAAATTTTTATGTCTAAATGGGCCCCACTCTCCCCTACCAAAGAGAGTCCTGCAAGGTTTGCGATAGCAAATTTAACCTGGACAGAAACTGGCTACATATAATACAAATGTTGTAAGGAAATTGTCAACTAAGAAAGTGTGTACTAAAACTCTAAAACTAATCAAAAGGGCACAATACTTGAAATTAAATGGAATAGATGTACCCAACTTGTGACAACAATAATCCAAGACAACTAACTAGAATACCTATTACTGTTCATACATTACAATATAGAGAAATCAAAAGCCATATAGTCAAAATCCAAAAAAAAATTTTTGATAATGATTTGAATGTTTTTTTGTGAACTTTCATAGAAAAAATAGACAAAAACAAAAGTTATGTTAAAAATTGTTTATTTATTATTTAGGTGTATAGAAAAATTATCTAAATAGAAAATATATTTTCAAGGTTCAAGATTAAAATGTAGTTATATTTATATGTATACACAAAACATTGTTTTCCCTAATCTCTTCTACGAGTCCATCTTAAGACAACATCTTTTTGGTTATTGTCCCACAAAATAGTACACAGTGTACCAACTGTTCCTGATTTAGGATCATTCTGAAACCAATCCAGCAATACTTGATATATAACCTGAAAATTAAACAGAAATATGAGTGTTACTAACCAGATAGATATTTAAATATTAGTGGATATAGGAAACTAACACATAAATAAAGCATTTGATACAGTTACATAAGAGGGAAAATTGGTTTAATTCTTGTTTGGTCCAATATCTTTTACTCCAGTCACTCAGGCTATTCATCTCCCAGCTTTGTCGGACTGAACCAATTCACTTGTGTACATGAATATCTCGGCACCAACGAATAATATTGAGTGCTTTGTACTGTTATTAGCTTAGTTTGTAGTCTTGAAGCCATGTTATTGTTGCTTCTTAAAAGGCAGAAAATATTGATTTTTCACGTTGAGAACCCCTATGAATAGCTCTTCTGACGAGACCTATTAGGTCGAAATACGTATCAAGAGATACATAGGATTTGTTTGCGTGAATTCAAATATTTGCTGCCTTTTCTCATGATCTATTTATGTTTACTTTTTTAAGTTTATCTACTGCACTTTTGCTGTCCGTACATATTATGAATTTGTCGAGGTTAGACCCGAGTATGTATTTCATAGCTTGCACTATTGCTGTTAATTCTGCAGTGTATATGGAAGCTTCCTTTGGTAAAATAACTTTTTTGTCAGTATTTTCTTCCAAATGGTAAAAGGCACAGCTGGTATATTCTTTTGACTTTGATCCATCAGTGAGTATAGAATCATAGTTTGGCCAGTATTTGTTTTTTGTTTCTTTAAACTTTATTTGATTGATACTTGCTACTTCTTGACTTTCAACACAGTAGGTTCTAATTTCACGTGAAAAAATTTGTTCAGGCGAGTAAATTAGAGCCGGGGGGGAGTTGGTTGGAATAGAGTATATCTGTAATGTCAGGTATTTCTGATAAAGTTTCTACTATGAGGGAGAGTTTTCTTGAATTTCTTGCCAGTATCTATGGGTCAAAACTTGAAGTGTTAGTGATTGTACTAGCGGACCAACTCGACATCGAGTTTTTTAAATGAAATTTTTATTTTGCGAGAAAAATTAAGAGATCAATACAAACAATATAAGCAAGAATATACATACATTCATCAATAATAATGCAAGTAAAAATATCACAAAATATTTCGTCGAAAACAATGTTTATTGTTACAATGTCTCCATTTTCTGAAAACTTTTGCTTGGCACCGTGAGTTATGTAAACTTTTACTTTTTTACTTTTTAATAAAAACGTAACCGGAAGTCGACCTCAAAACCGGAATGCAATTTTTAGTTAATCAAATGTCGACATGGATATCATTTATCAGTTAATTTTGCATGCTGATCACGAATCCTGTGTCAGATTTGGGCCCTGATTCTATTTCATTTCGATGTTGAAATTTAAAAGCGACTACGCCATGACAGTCGCAATCGCTAGCGATTCTCATTCATTTCGATTTTAGTTAAAAGTGGGGACATTTACTTTATCATTTTGACACTGCTCAGAATTTGGGTTGGCCGTCTTGTTTATTGGCTGCACGCTTGTTAAATGTTTGTTTTGTTTACATTTTACGATTTTTGTTTCTTGTTTGAGTTGTTAAATTTTTAGTGGCCATTCTCAATGATTATATTTTGAATTGAAAGAAAATGGATGGAGGCTGTTGGTGATGGTGGCACTAAATTGTCTGTGGACCAAAAAGAAATTATGATGGCTTTTGACTTAGTGGTTATATTATATTTTTAAATTTACTGCAGCTTAGTATTGGTATTACTAAAAACAATACATTACCGCTCTAAAAATTCTTGATGAGTTTAAAGATTATTTTATATCTCCAAATAAGAGTGTAGAATTAAAATAAATTATTACAACCAAATTATTTATTATTTCTATCTTCCATTACAGCCTGTTGAATATATTCAAAAATTGTGGTTTCCAATTTAGTTTTAATATTGGGACATTTTATTTCTTTAATTTTTACACCACAGTATATTTTAAAAAATAATCAGTAGCATCTGGCTTGGGGCCCCCAGGTACCGCAGTTCTATTTTTATAGGTGTTAAAATTTCGACCAATTATGTGCCGAATCACATACAATTTCTGATAAAACGCAGCCATATTAATACTTTTTGCCTCAGTTTTCGTTGCAACAATCAAACAAAACAACACCGCCTAAACTGAACCTAACCTCGCTTCTCCCAGTCCCGCTAGTCATGTCAGATTAATTTCGACTCGAAATTAAATTTCAACCACTTTCTTGAAGTTGAAATTAATTTCGATAAATCGAAATTTAGTGACGTCCTTTGGTTAGTTCAGCTGAAATCCACTAGGCTCGCAAAGTCGCATTTCGACGTCGCCATATTGATTTCAACATGTTTTCAGTCGAAATCTCAATTAGAATCAGGGCCTTGCTCTACTTGACGTTTTATGCGCATTTCGGGTCACTTCCGGTGTCGGATCGCAACCGGAAGTATATATTTAGATTCGTCTCGACGAGACCTTTCGACCCATATATAAATTGTGGGGTCTAAAACTTAAAGTAAATTTTAACTTCCGGTCATCTCAAAAACGGAAGTGAATTTTTGTACCAAAAGTATATCTTGACAATCTCATACGTAATACTAATAATATTCCGAAAAAATATTTTAATTATCTAATATGGTTTTTGAGTAAAGTGGTGGACAAGAAAAGGGCTTAGCGTTTTAGTATATAAGATACTATTGAGGTAAGAAGTTTTTTTGGAAATGGTTTTTATCATAAATTTTCTGCTTAATAGTTGTCTTCTTAGTTTAAGAGGAGGTTTCACGGCTTCAGCTTGTATAATATTTATGGGTGTTGACCTAAGATATCCCAGACAAACTCTTAAGCATTTATTTTGTTGTATCTCGATTTTATTTAGAGGTGTATCTGCTGCTGTTCCATAGAGTTGACTTCCATAATCCATTATTGATCATACCATTGTTTTGTAGAATAGTAAAGCCGTATTTGGGTCTGCCCCCCACTTTGCCCTACAAAACGCTCTTAAAATATTTATAAAATTACTTGTTTTTTTGATAATTTGGTGGATACAGTCCTTCCATAATAGTTTTCTATCTAGATGTAGACCAACATATTTTACAGAGTTGCTAATACGTAGTTTATACTTTCCTATTGTTAATGGTCTTTGATAGTTGTTTATGTTTCTAGAGAAAATACATATATTGGTTTTGGACTCGGATATGGAAAGTCCCATGTTGTCTAGGCATTTTTGGATTTCTATACATTCAGTGTTGATATTTTCTATACATTTGTCCTCTGATTTGTTACTGGTGTAAATAACATCATCAGAGTATTGAATAATTTTGGACTTAAGTGATATAACATTTTCTATGTCCATTGTGTACAGGCTGTAGAGGATTGGGCTCAAGATGCTACCTTGTGGTAATCCAGATCTACATATTCTTGATTCCGATACTTCTTTATTTATCTTTAAGGAAACTGATCGATTAGAGTAAGCTGATTTTATGAAGTTAGCAAAGGAGGTTGGTAGACCAATATTGATAAGCTTCTCTTCTAGTATATTTATTTGAACATTATCATATGCTGAAGTTATATCCAAAAATGTAGCCAAAGTGCTGTATTTGTGTGTGAATCCTAGATAGATGCCATTAACTAGTATCGTTAGGGGTTCTAAGGAAGATCTTTCCTTTCTAAAAGCATATTGTGAGTCAGGTAATATTTTTTCATTTTCTAGCCAATATTCAAGCCTGTTCTTTATCATTATTTCCATGGTTTTAAATATACACGATGATAAAGCTATGGGTCAATATGAATCTGCATTTCCGTTCTGTTTTCCAGGTTTTTTGATAGGTACTACGACGTATTCTTTCCACATTGGTGGAAAAGGAATCTTATTTATCCAAATCGAATTGAATAATTCTAACAGGGCTTTCTTATGGCCTAAGGGCATTTTATGCAACATATTTTATGAAATGTTATCCGCCCCGGGAGATTTATTATGTATTTGTTGATTTAATGCATTGATCGAGTTCCCATAATTGAAATAGTGATTGTAGAAAAGAAATGTTTCTATTTACGGTAGCTCTTTGTTGAGTAATGTTATTTTCAACCCATGGGGGCGAGATTTTTGTGTGGAATTCGTTTATCCAGTCTTCTTTGGGGTGTATTTAGGGTTTATTTACTTTTTCGGGTTTTATATCTGTTTACTTTCTTCCACACTCCTTTAATTGGTGTATTTTGATTTAGATTTTGGCAATAATTAATCCAGATTTTTTTCTTAGTTTCTTTGAAAGTGTTTTAGCTACTGCATCAAGTCCTTTATATTATGTTAGATTATTAAGATTTGGAGCATGTGTGTAGGTTAAGTAAGCTTGTTTTCTTGCTTTAGCAGCTATGTTACAGGTTTCATTCCACCAGTCCTTCGAACAATGATTTCTATTTTGTGTATTTGATTTTTGTAAGGGAATTGCTTTGTTGGCAGCTTTGTTAATATTGTCGATAATGCCCATTAGTGATGATTTTGGTTCTGTAGCTTCAAGTGTAGCAGTGTATATATCAAAAATTGGCAGCCTTGAGTCTCCATATGTTATGTTTTGTCTGTTTAATAAAGTTTTATGTTTATGTTGGCTGTTTAAGCCAAACTATATGCGTTAAAGTCGCCCCCAATTATGAATGGTTTTGGAATTTGTTCCAAAAAGTTGATCCACTGTTGTAATGATATTCTAGTTCTCGGTTTAAAGTATACTGAAACGAAATAATTTTTTTTATGTACAAATAGAAAATTAACTGAGATACAAGTATGCTCAAGTAGTTGGAATTGAGACTTCTTGGTATATTAAGTCTGATTTTAATAATATGGCTGAGCCGCCGTACCCGTCGTCCCGGTCACAGCGAATATTGTTGAGGCCTTTAAAATTATAATATTTTTCTGCTTTAAACCATGTTTCCGATAGAAGTGCAACAGAGTAGTTGCCCCTATCTAGTAGATATTCTAAGTTAGTTTTATTAGAAACTGCTGAAAGGCAGTTCCATTGAAGAATATTTATTGCATGGTTGAGGTCTGAGAATGTGATGATGTGTTTCCATTTATAGTTAATTTGACTAAGTTTTCGAGTTCTTCCTTATTTACATTTATACTTTTTGTTACTAAAACTTTTGTGACAATTTCTATAACTAATTCTAATATTGAATTTATCATGCTCAGGTCTGAAGGAGATGCAACTGAATTATTATTAATATTTCCTTTATAGTTAATACTGTTTAATATTCCTCCCGTAGGAAATTGAGATCTAGGGGAAGCTATAATTTCATTATGCAAAAATGAATGTTGAATCTGGACTATTTGGTCTCTGTCTTTTAAATGTTCTAGAATTTGTACTTATTTGAATTATTATATATTTGGATAATTGAATTTGATGGGAGCTGGGTGGGTGTATAATTATTGGGATTTAATGGAGGGAAAGTTTTGGGGAAGGAAATGTTAGTAGTTTGTTCCATATTAATGGTTGTTGCTTTTGCATAGGAGTATCTAGGGAACTGCCTGTTGGCGTCTTGATAACTAATATTACTGGAAGACATAGCATCTTTTACACGTTTTTGACATTGAAATTCCTGACACGCGCTCAAATTTGTAGTAAAATGATTCCCCGAACAATTAAAACATTTTGGAGTTACATTGGTCGTTTTACACTCTTTTGAGTTGTGTGATTCCTGACATTTATCGCACCTAGCCCTGCTCTTACACTGCCCCCCTGTATGTCCAAATCTAAGACAATTAAAGCATAATACCACCTTTTGTTTATATGGCTAGACTTTCTTTAGTACCTTGTTGATTGTTACATATTTTGGTAGTACCTGTGACCTAAAACTAACTACACATGTTTTTGTTGGAATATATTGAGTACCGTTTTCATCTACTTGCCTCCTATTTAATCTTTTGACTTGAATGACTTCAAATTTACAGTGTAATCGTACATTTTTTATTCTGTCTATAACAAACTCTACTGAAAATTATGTGGAAATATCTCTTATTACACCCTGTCTAACTAAAAGAAACTTAGGAATGTAGAGGTAATGGATTTTGGGAACAGCTATGACCTTGAATATTTCACATAAACTTGTGTACTAAATAGGCATAATGCATAGCTCTTGTCAAAATCCAATACATTAATAATATAATTACATCTCTTCGATTCTAAAATATTGTAAAAGACTTTAAAGAGTATGAGTAAGAAAAGAGATATTTAGTTATATTCTTTGTGGCATTTTCAAGGTCATAGCTGTTCCCAAAATCCATTACCTATATATGTCTAAATTATTTTTTGTAAATATTGCTTCATTTTTTTTTAGATATGATATAGTTGGCCGATTTATAATCTTTAAATTTTATACATATTTTATTTCTCCCTACTGCGTCAATGCTCACAATTTTTTCATCAATTTCTTTAAAATTTGTGATAATAATGTCACCTATCCTTAAAGCGTTTAACCTGCCTTTAAAATTGGGTGAATCATTTTCCAAATACACGTAATGAGGTCCCAAGTTGTTGTGTCTGTAAAGAAATTCCTCCCTTTTTGTAACTACTTCTTTGTTTATGGTATTTGTTATTGAAGTGTGTACATTAGCAAAGTCATTATCGATAATGGGTTTATTATTAACACATTTTGTGGTACTTATCTGTGTAACCGGAACCAGATTTTGAAATCCTAACAGCTCCTCCTTTGAAGATGATGCATGTTCTGTATCCATTTGGGTTTCTAAAACAATGTTATCGGAGGCATCGCCTCCGCTAACTGCATTCATAAGTTTTTAATGTCTTTCCAAATTTCGCTTCTTTATTTGGTGTAATTAATTTACTTTTAAAGTTCACGAAATATTTATTTATATAGCTAATTTATAAACACTGGTTTTAAAAACAAGCTTCTTTCTTACGCACGTCTAACTACCACAACTAATGAAAGCTGAATGATTCTAGAGTATGGATCAGTTGTATGGTCCCCATCATACAACTGTTACATTGAACAGATTGACAGGGTCCAGAATAAATTTTTGAGGATAGCAGCTTTTAGGAGTAGATATTGGAGAGAGGAATATGACTATCAGTGGGTAAGAGATAGTATTAATTTACCAACACTTGAGTCAAGGAGGATATTGTTAGATTCATGTTTCCTGCACAAAGTCATAAATACTATTATAGATTATCCTCAATTGTTATCACTCATTAGTCTCAAAGTACCCAGTAGAAACAACAGAAATCTTTTCAGTGTCAGTTCACCACACTAATTATGGTATCAATGAACTAACTACATGATTGGTCCATAGTGCTAATAGCCTACCAAGACAAATAAATATTTTGACTCCAAAATTAGTTTATTTAAAAAACAACAAATAGGTATCTTATAATAAGTGGTCTTTTTTACATGTCAATACCCTTGACAGCTGTATTAAAGTTTGTTATAGTTTATTATTCTGAGATGTTTGATATTTTAAAAATTTATTGTTTTTAGTAGCTTTGTTAAAACTTTTGTAAGTGGAGTCTGTTAATAAATAAATAAATAAATATCTTATTATGGTCCTGTAAATTCTGTTTTTATTCCTCGAAAATTAAAAACAATGAATACTTAATTATTATTTGTTTTTAGAAAATTGCATACAACTATGATTCACCATACTTACTTCTTTAATACCATATACTTGATGATCTGCTATAAATTGAGAAATTTGCCCTTCTCCAATATCACACGCTCTTGCTACATCTTTCCATTCAGAGTCCATATGAGTGGCAGCAAACTGTAAATCATCTCTTGATAAAGATTGTGTGCTAGCCTTCAAAGATCTAATGGCAGAAGTCTCAGGGATGTCAGTCTTTTTATTTTTTTCATTCCCACTGAAATTGTATGTATTTTTGTTTCCTACATGTATGTCTTTCGAGTGTGATATGTTTATTACTGTAGCTGAAGCTAAAAAAAACTTGCTTAAAATCAAAACATGAAAAAAATAAGACTTTCCCAATGACTTCAGTGTAAGAGCTCAATCAATAATTATTTAAAGTCAATAAAATTATTTATTTAAAAATATAAATATATTGTTAGAAAATTATAAAATAGAATTAATTTGTTCAAAACAGACAAGATATTTATATAAACAACCATAAGATAATGATGGTTTATGAAAAATGTTTTTTAACTAATGGGAAACTCATATTCATTTTTAAGTGTCTATTGGTATGGTATTATATCGTCGGCTTACCTGTAAAACCTTCTAAGTCCGATTTTCGGTCATTTGGGGTTTTTTACGGAAATAATTTAATAAATCCGTCCCGACATAACTGTGAATAGATTCTAAGTCGAGACCAATCGGAACTCGTCCCTAGTGGAAACACGAGGAACTTCTATGTCTCTCAGTCTAAAATAGTTCTGAAAACCTTCTATGTCTGTGAGTGGTCTGTGAAAACGTGCTGACATTAATTTGGAGGTTAGTAAGTAATCGGTCTTAAAAATTGATGGTTTTGGCTTAGAAGTGCTAGCAACAGTTAATGTTTTCCAGTTAAATTTAAACTTAAATAGCTAAGAAGGTATGTACACTGTTTTTATCCCATTTTAATTAACAGTAATTTTTAAATGAAATTCTTAACCTGTTGATGTAGACTTACACGGTTTTCATATTAAAATTAATGTTAAAATATTCACTGCTAGGGACTTACATGGTTTTCAGACTAAAAGTAAAGTTAAAATATTAATTGAAAAAACTTCAAGGAATCAAATTATACATTTTTTATGACTTGTAACGTGTTATTTAAAGAAACTAGATTATGGTTGTTATATTATTTTAGATGGCTTCCTACAAATCTCGGACAGAGCTGATATTAGAATTAGTTGCCGCGCCAGAAGTTTCACCGAGAGAAAATAACAATTTTGATAACATTGATCATAATTGTGGAAATATTTTACCTATTTTACCATTATTTCCAAAACCTATTGATTCAGGACATTGGGAAGATAATATTAATATTAATGATCTGCCCATAGAGTTTATTGACTTACCTACCACTGTTAAAGTCCAGTGCGCACATAATGCAGATGATAATAATTCTATTACTATTCAAAAAAATAGTGGTGAGTAAACGCACAATTTCGTTAGTAGGTTTTTTATATTAATTAATTTATTATTTCAGAAGAGCAGCATGTTTGTTTAGAAAACGCAGTGCAAAATTTTGAGGCTCTCAATGAGTTTTCAATCGACCAAAATAACATTACGAATAATAGTGAACTTGATGCTGAAGAAGAGTCTCTCTATTCTCCTAATTCCGATTCAGTGGACAGTTCTTCAAGTGATTCAGTCTCCTACCAGAATAATGTTACCAACTCAGAAGAAAATAACTTTGAAGATAACGATAATGTAAACATAACTGTTCCTCCCACGGTTTCTCGAAAGAGAAAAAGAAACAGAAAAGCTGATATTTCACAATGGGTCCAATTTCAAAATAAACAAAAAAGGGAACACGGTGAAAAATATCTCGGTAGAAGAAAGATGGACGGCAAAAATGTTTTTGATGTTGACAAACCAGAAAGAAGTATAAAACCGTCATGTAATTGCAAACTTAGTGCAAAGAAAACTGCATTGTTAAAATGTAGGTTGTTCAGCGAACAGCAAAGAGAAAAAATATTTTCCGAATTTTGGAAAAAGACATGGGGAGAGAAAAAAACCATGGTACAAATGTTAGTCCGAGTTGGTGCAGCTCAAGATAAAAAACATCAAATCAACGAAGTCTCTAGAAGAGGCCGATCACTATATTTTCATCTGAAAAATTCATGTGACGAATTACATAGAGTTTGCAAAACAATGTTTCTACATACGTTATGCGTTGGACAATGGACTGTGTCTGAATGGGTTAAAGAAATAAATGATCCAAATATAAATACAGAGGATACTCACGCAACACCCGGTGATACCTCTTCACAAAATCTGAAAAGGTCTAAAATATCTCCGGAAACAAAGGATGACTCTCCTAGGAATATTTTGCGTTCCTTTCTAATAAGTCTGCCAAAGCTCGAGTCGCATTATTGTAGATCATCTACTACGAAAATATACCTAGAACCCGTATGGAGATCAAAGATGGAAGTATTCCGAGAATATGAAAATAAGTGTAATGAAAAATCCCTATCAGTTAAAACATTTATGGAGGAATTCGAAAAGATGAATCTTAGCATACACCAGCCCAAAAAAGACCAATGTGACCTCTGTGTGGGATTTAGGGTTAAAAATGTATCAGAGGATGCTTATAAAAGACACATAGAAAATAAAGAAAATGCTAGGGCAGAAAAGTCCAAAGACAAGGAGCAGGGTAAATTTGTATATACCATGGATTTACAGAGTGTACTTCTTGCACCGAATTTAAAAGCTTCAGCGCTTTACTATAAGACTAAATTGATAGTCCACAATTTTACCATATTTGATCTCAAAAACAAAGATGGTTATTGTTTTGTGTGGCACGAGGGAGAAGGTGGACTGTCCGCGAACGAATTCTCTACAATAATTTCTTATTTTATCCTTAATAAGATACCAACTCTTCAGGATAATGATGAAATAATATTTTACAGTGATGGTTGCGGCTACCAGAATCGAAATAATATTTTATCAAACGCACTTTTGTCTGTGGCTAATGAAAAAAAAATTGTGGTGGTTCATAAGTACCTTGAAAAAGGTCATACACAAATGGAGTGCGATTCAATGCACTCCACAATTGAACGAAAACTCAGAAATCGTGAAATTTATACACCAGGATGCTACGTCGACCTTTTAAAAACTGCAAGACTCACTCCTAAACCATATGAAGTACTGTACCTTGATCATACATTCTGGAAAAATTTTTCCAATTTTAACTTTTATAGTTCAATAAGACCTGGAAATCAATCTGGAGACCCAACTGTCCATGACCTCAGATGTATAAAGTACAATCCAGACCTAAGTCTTGAATACAAAGTAGACTACAAAATGCCCTGGACTTTACTTCCCAGACGTTGCAATAAAAGCAAGATTGGTGCTATTCCGTCTCCTTTATACAATGGCCCATTAAAAATAAAATTACAAAAATATAATCACTTACAAGAATTAAAATCCGTGATACCAAAAGACTTTCATACATTTTATGATAGTTTACTAACTTGTTAACTTTATTTGTTTCACTATTATTTTTTTTCAATTCATATATCTATGGTTAATATCTATTAGACAAATATTTCATATGAGAAATTTGATTTTTTGTGCAATATATTTTTTAAATACAGCGGTTGTCCAACAAACTAATTATATTTAAAGTAAATATCGACTCTTATGTACCTTGTAAGTCTTATTTTGTCCCGAATAAATAAATGAAAAGCACGTAAGTCCTCTTTTAATGCCTAAATAATCAAATATTTATATACTGGATTACTGATTTAACTAAAATTACATTTTAGTGGTGTTTAACAAAATTTTATAAGACGGTCCCATAATAACGGTGGTAGCAGTTTTTTGCTTCTCCTGAAAAGTTTTGAAAATTGGACTTAGAAGGTTTTACAAGTAAGCCGACGATATGCTACTTAAAAAGTGGCACAATTAGGGTACCCCTAAAGTGATACCATGGTCTTATAAATCCATAATGTGATAGCATTACACACATTACAAAAATGTTTATCTGAGTTTACATGACAAAAATGGGATTTCACAACCAAAGATATTAAAATCTGTAAAGGGTTTTAACAACTAACCTGTTGATGGACTAAATTTTTTTCCTCCGTTATTTCTTTTCGTTCTTGTATTAAAACTAGTGAAATTATTTTTACGAACTTCTTGATATTCAGGATTATCGTCCTCTAAATCTACCGTGTAAGTAATTTCCTCCTCTATTTTCTTATCTTTCGGACCATGTCTAGGATTTGGCAAAGCATCAGTTGTAATGTCATCTTGATGTTTTTCTTCTGAACTAGACATTTTATTACGCTTACTAATTTAGACTAAAATTTATCACAATCACAGTTTTCCTTGCAAAAAACAACAAACCTTAACAATAACAAAGAATAAATTTGTCATGTCAAGGTGTCAAGTACGATTAAACATCAATGCACTGTTGCCACGATTTACTTATTAAATATTTATTTAAAGAATTTAAAATAATAGATCCCTAAAAAAATACGATAACCCCATAACTCATGAGTTGTAGAAATAACTAGTATCTCCGATGGGGTAGCTGGCTTAACCTTCCAACTATCAAAGAAATACAATGTATTGGTGACTTTAATGCCAAACTGTGAAAGAGAAACGGCAAGGAACAAGTCATGGAAAAGTATGGAGTCGGTGAGAAAAATGAAAGCGGAGAAAGACTGGTGCAGTTTACACTTCCTATAATAAAACTATACTATTCTAAACACTTTGATATTCCTATACTTAAACATGCCTATTGCAAATACATTCTTTAAGAAAAAATTGAACAGAAAATGGACTTGGGTAGCATCAAATGGAACCATGAAGAACAACATTGACTTCATTCTAACCAACAAGATTGCTACAGTAAAAGATGTCAGTGTAATAAATAAATTTAAATAGGCAGCGAGCATATATAGACTAATCCGAGCAAAAATTGTTCTAAATCTGAAACTATAAAGAATAAAATTAGTCACAAAACCAACGCAGTAACCCGTATAAATATTACCAATCTAAAAGAAAACTCAGATCACTACCAAAGAACAATTTATGAAAAATCACCAAATCGATAGCTTTCAATAAATGAAAATCATCCTTGATAGTGAAAAAAAAAAAAAATCAGAAGCCCGCAACAACAAAATTAACACAGCAAACTGTCTGATAAAACTAAACTAATGCTAAAACAAAGAAGGGAAATGACAGTAGGTAGCCACATATAAAAAATACAATACATAGAACTTTGTATGACAATAAGGAAAAGTATAAGGAATACATAAGAAAATACAATGAAAAAGACTAGTACAAATGCAATCGAAAACAGAAAAAACTATAAGAACACAAGAAAATCATTAATTATTGGGAAGAAGCAAATCGTTGCCCTAACAAACGAAAACACCAGAATTACAGACAGAAATGAAATAATACAAGTCTGAAGTCATCGTGATTAAATTTTACAGCGAACTATATAAAGCCCCTGAAACACACGAAGAAGCAATCAGTAACCAAGAAGATGTACCAAAAGTCCTTCCGGAAGAAGAAGAATCGATAATTCCAAAAAGGAACAGCGGTAAAGCAGCTGGAATAGATGACATAACGATGGAACAGCTTAAATGGGCTGGCAAAACAACCTGCAAAATATTAGCAGGCATATTTACGAACTGAAAGAGGATATCAAAAATTACAGACCTATAAATCTACTACCAATCATATACAAAATATTCACAATGATTATCAATAACAGATTAATGAATTCATTAGTTGCTATACAGCCAAGAGAGCAAGCTGGCTTCAGAGTGGATTCAGTACCTTGGATAATATCCATACGCTTTGAGAACAAATGAGTAGAGCTAAAGAATATTAAATACCGCTAGCATTAGCCTTCATAGATTTAGCTTAGGTAAAAATTTATAAAAAGTGTCTAGAATTTCCCACTAACAGAGGCATCCCACAAGGAGACGTAATATCACAAAAGCTCTTCACTGCAACTCTAGAAAATATATTCAGCAAAATGAACTGACAGAACAAAGGCCTATTCATTTATGGAGAATACCTGAGCCATCTAAGATTTGCAGACATCGTTCTGATTGCTAATAATTCTGCAGAACTACAAGTACTTATAAGCGACCTAAATGCAGCCAGCAATTAAGTTGGCCTAAAAATGAACTTGACAAAAACAAAAACCATGTACCTATAACGAGCTAGTGGATGTCCAAGATGTAATAACAAACAACACTGCACTTAAGACAGTAGACGAGTATCTACAGATGGGACAATTAATACATAAATCTGGTTCATTACTCCCAGAAATCAACAGAAGAATGAAACTGGCTTGGGCATCTTTTGGTAGAAATGTAGTTATATTCAAATATAAGATGCCACTCCACCTGAAGAAAAAAGCATTCGATGAGAAATACGATAAAAAAAGTATACTATCACTCATGACATACGGCTGTGAAACTTGGACACTAAAAAGAGAGTTAAAAGCGAAACTCAAAGTCACTCAAATATCAATGGAATCATATTATATGCTTGGTATATCAAAGAGAGATCGAAAAAGAATAGAATAGATCAGACAGAAAAAGGTCACTAATGTAATCCAGTAGTATATAGTACGAATTTGGTTAAGGATTTGATAAAAAATAAATGTTGTATGCTGAGCTGTTTTATAAATATAATCAATAGAAATTATTTCGAATCATATCAATACTAAATATATCTACTGATAAATTGGTAGCTGCGGCGACACTGTATATTTCAGCGATGTCACGTCAATCCAATAAATCTGGTGCGCTCAGCGGTGCCCTATTAAGCCTGCATTTCACGTACGGCGCTGCGATTATAAACTGATTATTTTCTCATGCTTGTAATCAAAAATTTGAATTGATTACTTTTATGTTGCGTTATTGTTATGCTAGAGTCATTTATATATTTAGGTAGTAATAAATACAGTACAAAATATTTTATTTAAGAGATAAAATTATATGGTCAACATAAACGAAAGAAAGGTGAAAACATGTGGTTTGATTGCAGGAAAGTAGTTATAGAGACAGTCTGGAAATTTGAAAAATTTCCGATTGAATCTTTCCGATTCAACCAGAAATTAAATATCTAATGAGCTTAAGGGATCAAGAATACCGAATATATTCTTTAGAATTAGTTTCTAGTAGAAAAGATTCTTAACCGGAAGAATGAAATTTAAATCGTGTGTGCATTCTATAATAATATTTTCAAGAAACACATGTTGTCCAATTCATCTATTCAAAATCGTTTTCGCTCTAACAGAAATATTTAACAAATATTCCGACAAAACATACCTCTGTATTAAAGCTTAGATGCTTTCAAAATTGATAAAGTTATTTATTTTTCCCAATAAATTGTAGTGTGTTTACACGATTTGTCCTGCATAATATGAACGTAGCCACCGCAGACTGACTGAAATGCGGAACGTACTTTGACACTAACAGATTGAAGTGATCTGTGAATTGTGATTCTGATCGCTTATTCGGTTGTCGGGTGCGGCATGCGCTGCTACAAGTGAGCATAGTTGGTGGAAGAATAGTGACAATTTTTACAGTATCTGAAATGTTTTACATATAAAAGTATCAGCAATAAATTTGTTTAGTTTATCCTTTTGAGCAGTAATAGAAAACGGTAGTTGAAAGGTAAGTTATTAGATTTTATACTATTCGTACATAATCATGATTATACCAATCTGAAGTGAGTGCCAAACAAATCTCCAATGTACTGGATTGTTAGTAGGATGACACATTCAAATAAACTGTTTTTAATCTCAATTTGTTGTTAGAGGGGTAGTCATAATTGATCGTGAAGTAAGAGAATCTTACAGCACGTCTGGAGCAGTGGAGAGGATATTTAATTAAAAGCATTAACCTATGTACCCACTCTACAATTTGTAGTCAATTTGAGATGTAGGGCATTAATATTCGGTGGACCCCCCCGGTAGTGCATGCAGTAAATATTAATTTTATTAGGAAGTAGTAGTTGATTGGTAAATAATTAGTAGTGTTAATATTCTCCCATTTCATCAAAATTATTAAACTTCCTCTCTATTATTCACAATTTTCACTACCCATAGCTTCCTGTTGCATTGTGGTTAGGTTAACCACTAACGGTGTGGCTTTATCTCTACCATATACCTAAATAGATCACAGTATACTAAGCAATTATTGATGACAAAATATATGCAGATATAGGAGATTTCACAGCAAAATTAGTCCTTTATAATTGGAGATATCAATGATAACAAACAATACAAGATAGAAAGAAAAGAACACTGAAGTTTTGTAATTCAATGCTTATGAAGTATCTAACTAACTTTCAAATACCCAGAATTAATAGTATGTGACAAAATCATTATTTCTTTCTGTTTTTAGGTAGTAAAAATGCGTGAGTACAAGATTGTTGTATTAGGATCGGGGGGTGTAGGTAAATCAGCTTTAACAGTACAATTTGTACAAGGAATATTTGTAGAAAAATATGATCCAACAATAGAGGATAGTTATAGGAAACAAGTGGAGGTAGATGGACAACAATGTATGCTGGAAATACTGGACACAGCTGGAACTGTAAGTATTACTTCAATTAAAGAAATATCTTGGCCTTCAAATACTTCCAAAATTGCCTATATTCAAAATTCGCATGCCAAAGTTTTATTATTAAAAATGAACAAAGGATGAGTCATTTGGTTGACTGATTTGTCAGCACAGTTTCATAGCCTTCTTGAATAGTCCATACAAAAGGCATTACTTTTGGTGATATTTGAGAGTGAAAGAAAATTTGTATGATATACAGTGTCAAAAATTATTCTGAAATATTTTAGGAACAATTTACTGCAATGAGAGATTTATACATGAAAAATGGCCAAGGATTTGTATTGGTTTATTCTATAACTGCACAGTCTACATTTAATGATCTACAGGATTTAAGAGAGCAAATTCTACGAGTTAAGGTAAGTGATTTTTAAATTCAAATGTCTAATATGTGAGACTTTTAAATATTAAACTTTTCATATTTAATTCAATTTAATAGTTGAAAGTGAATGAAATAAAATATGCAATGTAGATTTTCCTTATATCCATATCAGGATGATACTGTTATATTCCGCTAGTTTATTGAGTTCTTGGCATTTCGAAGAGGCTACCTTAGGTTCATACTAGTCCCATAGCTGCTTGCTACGTATATATTGATCCACATCCAAGTTCGAAAGTCCTTCTTAAGATTTATTTCATTCATGAAAATAATACAGTTAAGTAACTCTCTAGCTTGAGAGTTCTCTCAATTTAAATCAGATGTATTCACAAGGATCTCACCATGTTGTATAATCTTTTACACACAACTAGATTCCTTTTAAAATAAACAAATCTTGTTTCTTCTAAGTAAAGAAGAGTAGGCAAATTGTTCCTTCTAATTAAAACATAGAACTAATTATGATTATAATTCATATTCATCTAGATTGGCTATATTTGCTGATCAGTTTTCTGATAAGTTGGGCTGTTTTGGAAAACGTAAATGTTTTTCAATCTCAACAATGGTGCATATGTGATATTCTGATGGTGCTATAACTGTTTTTATTTAAAAATTGTATTTTATGAAATATATATTTTTTGTTATTCCTAAATGCTATGGTAAATTTGTCTGCAGCTTTTCAAATTTCCTACTCTGTATTTAAATAAATAAATATAATGTAAAAATTGAAAACCTAACCTGTCACCAACAAATATGCAATAGTATTTAGACATAACATAAAATATATTGTTATAAGCTTTTCAAATTTAAACACAATTTTAAAGGTATTACAAAAATTTAAAACAGCCATTTAATAGACTTGTTATCATGTATGACTCATTTACCAATTCTTTTATCACCAACAGTGATTATTACTTACAATTGGTTGATAGTATTGCTGACAATTAATATGGTGTACAAGGTTGCCAAGTGTAACACAAAATACTTTCTACTTACAACTTTGCTGTCCAATGAATCTTATATGATTGAAAAAACATAAATGTGCCAAATGTCCATAAATCAAATGTGATTCAATGGTATATTATATGTTACTATATGGGCAAATCCACATTATTTAAAAAAAACCTTCAAGGTTTTAAAAAGAACAGCTCATTTTAAATGTGTTTTATTAGTTGGTTGAGTTTACCGAAAGTACAAGCTGATTATAGCCGCAAATGTCAAACATGGAACAAAAAATTTCGGTATAGCAGTGTTGGCATGTTTTTCTAATGTAGATGCTGTATGCTTCAAATATAAAAAGATAAAGCTTCAGAAAAGTACATTTTGTTTATATTATGTTATGAATTCTGAAATTTTTAATTTATATAAAACAACAAAGTAAATATTTGTTTCAAAGGAGAATAATTCCAGTTAATTATTAGAAATGTTTTTAGCAATCACCCTTTGATAGATTAGGGGATAGATTTGGCAATCGCTAAATCAGCAGTTGCCAGATTACAACAGATGTTTGCAATTAATCTCGAAAGAGACAAATATCTACTGGTTATTGTTTCATATTAATTAAACATTACAGAATTCATAAAATAGTATAATCAAAATGTACTTCTTAAAAGCTCTATCTCTTTATTTTTGAAGCATACAACATATGCATTATAAAAACATGCCAACACTGCCAAACCGAAATATTTTTGATGTTTGCTGCTATATTCAGCTTGTACTTTCGGTAAACTCAGCCTATTATTTATATTATTATTTGAAGATTGTGCTTTATAAGTGAAATAAATTTAACGAAATGAACAGAAATGCACGCTACAGAAAGAAAGAAATGTATAAATTTATTAAAAAATATTCTTGATTTACAGAAAATTTACAAAATATAATAAAAATAATTACAAAATATTCAAAATAAAATAATATCAACTTCAATATCATATTTTTTTCACCATTCAAGTATATGATTTAACTTTTCGGGATATTGTTGTTTAATACAAATACTAATGATCATGCCAAGTTTTGAAGGTGTTCATATGATATGCATGGTGTACTTAAAAAAATGTAATTGTAATGTAGTATAATAAATGTAACAAAAGAAATCACAAATAAGGCTGCAATGGTAACATTGTTACCTACGGTTTATTTTTGATGGCATAGATTTCTACAAACCACAGATTTTTTTGTTTTTCAACAAAGAATTTATAGAGGGATAACTTAAATAATAAGTCTGTTATCCTTAGTAGCAAATCTTCTATACTCATAGGAATGCTGAAAAAGTTATGCAACAAAATGTAACTTATTCATTAAAATAAACCAGGTAAATTCTGCGTTTTTTAATTGAAATTAATAATACATCATCTTACAAACTATTAATTTTAAAAAATAACCTAAGGACATTTTCATGTACTTGAAAATAGTATATTTATTGAAAATAACTTTGAAAAATTATTTAGAAGTCATCTAAAGGATAATAAGTTGAGGCATCGATGAAGCTACAAATAATGGGGATTTGCCCATATGTTACCATTGGGGCAGTGGATTTGTTAAAAGTGTTCAGTGATCATTGTCTAATCTAAAGTATTTAGTGACTATTCTCTATTCTAAAAGAGCAAGGGTAAGTAATTATTAAATTATGGAAGCATAGCAGTTTAATAATTTTAAATAATCATATTAAGGAACCTTACATTAAACAATTAAAAAAAATAATTATGTTGGATCAGTATTAAGAGAAGATACTATACTATTTGTCTATATGTATACTCCAGTCGATAGAGAAGAAAATGCCACTGAACCTCTAAAAATCATATGAACAAGCTGAATTTTGCCAAAAATGTCAATTTTAGGATGGTAAAAAGATGCAAAAAAGTTTAGCACTTTTACCCCCGGGCTTTTCCCTAAAACCCCCACGCAGAAGGGGTAAAACTGAAAAAAATGTTTCAAATAAAAAATGTAGCTAAGATAATTTTGAACAAAAACGTTTATTAGCATTTTTTGAGTAGAATGAACCGTTCTCTCAGAAATAACGATTGAAATGATCGGCAATTTTGAATGTCAGTTACGCGCGCGAAATCAATGTTTAATATAATTTAGATCAGCTCGACGGTAAAAATTCAATATCTTTTGATCCGAGTGTCCTAGCGACAAAAATCAAGATGCGTTTGAAAGGTAAAGAGTGCAGCAATGCTATGCAATTTTTGTATTTTGCGGCAAATGAACTCAGTTGGTTTTAAATAAATAAACTTGGCGCGATTTTTGCCATTTTTTATTATTCTCATGAGGTCAATACAATGTATCACTTTCATTGACCGGTCAATAGTTTCTATAATTAGAACCTAATCCTCAAAATCTATAGCATGAAATTTTAATTTTGAGATTTGGTAATAAGTTGGAGGCATTTGAAATATGCTTTAAATACGCTGAATTTAAACTTTTAACATTACAAACGATCTAAAACGTTAAAACACTCGCTAATAATCGCGCAAGGTTTATTTATTAAACAGCATTAAAGAAGCTAACTTTATTTATGGCACAATACAAAACTTGCATACAAAAGCTGCACTCTTTACCTTTCAAACGCATTTTGATTTTTGTCGATAGGACACTCTGATCAAAAGATATCGATTTATTACTGTTAGGTTGATACAAATTTTATTTAACATTGATTCCGCGCGCGAAACTGACATTTAAAATCGCAGGTCGCTTCAAGCGTTGTTTCTGAGAACGATTCATTCTTCACAAAACATTTTTGTTAAAAATTAACTCTGCTACATTTTTTATTTGAAATATTTTTTTCTATGGCGTACAGATTCTTGGTAAATCGATTTTTTTGCGTTTTTATCCCCATGTAAGGGGATTTTAGGGAGAGGCTCGAGGGTTAAAAGTAGTAAACTTTTTTGCATCTATTTTGGGGTTTCAAAATTAATATTCTCGGCAAAATTCAGCTTGTTCGTATGATTTCTAGGGGTCAAGTACGATGGCTGGACTAATACTGAATATTTCCTATTTTTCATCCCAATTAAGTGTACTTAGAAATAATCAAAAAATCTTCTGCGCTTCATGAATTATACTTGCAGCCTGCTCCTTCTTCTGGGCCTGCCCATGTCTCTTCTTCCATATAGTCTGCAGTTAACTTGCTTTACTGTCTTTGTTCATTCTTTCGAGGTGTTCTCTCCATTTTAAATTCTTATGTATTCTGTTGTTCATTGAGATGTTCAATTCCGCCCTTATGTCATCATGTCTGTGATCCCTTGAGAGTGCAACCTTTTGTTCTTCTTAAAAACGTGATGTGGACTATTTTCAGACACAGTACATGTTATTCATGTGTGCATATAGTTTGATATTTTTGCCTTTGGGAGCTAGCCCATTTGTCACATTTTCTGTTTTCCTTTTACATTCTATATTTGTACATAAAATATGTTCCAATTGTCTAATATTATTGATTTCTTTAAACTTTTCGTTTTTTTTTTATTTCTGTTTACTTTTCCTGTTTTTTTCCATAATTTTTGAATAGACAGGCACACTTACACTCAGGGGTCTTTTAGAGCAATTTAACAATAGCATAGATCACAGAACACAGGTATATTGGGGAAACACGAGAATAGACACGAAGGAGTTTATTTACTTTTATTTTTAATATGTGCCCAAACAGTGTATTGTAAATCCTCGTTCATTAAAATTTGTAGCAGTAGCTATATAGTATGCTTTTTTTGTATAGCTATATTTTTACAGCCCAGTGTCATATGTTCTATATTTCCCATTTCTCAGCTTGAACAATAATTTGGGCTTAATAAATTTTAATTTAAACAGCTTTTTTGAAATTTTTTATAACAAAAGTCCTTTTTTATTGGATTTCAATGCCTCATTCCATTTTATAACTGGCATTTTTTTCATAATATGATACTATATCTTTGTTGATACATTTGTAATCTGCTTTCATATGTTTGTGCGTTCTTTGCTATTATATTATATATTTTTTTATATTATATTTAT